CAAGCCCGAATCTTTTGCGATCATCAGTACCACCCTGTGCACCGGCTCCATGTAGTCTGATTTGTGAGTGAATGAGAGCAAGCAACGGAAGGGTGTACTCGTCCTATGACTTGATTAAAAGAGAAGAAAAATGTCCATTAATCCGTTCCAGCAGTGTTTACTTGTAAAACCACCCTGGGTTCCCACAGGAATTCCAGTAGCTTCAGCTGGCAGAAAGAGAGTAGCGACGCCTTTCCTTAGCCTTTGTTTTACCTGCTTCTCTCCCGACAAACCTGAAAGACATCTAGTGACACTTTTAAAAGTTAGATTAAAAGGAAGGCAGTGGGAGACCTGTTCATTTTTCTGCACCTGGAGGCAGCCTGGCATCTCCATGGGGCCAGCTGTGGTGTGAAACCCAGACCCAGCAACCATTCCCAATGAGTGCCCAATGTGCACAAACACCAGGGCTGCCGAGGCACTTTGTTCTTCTTGTTTCCACATCCAGAGACTCAACCAGATGGCTGCAGGCCAAACTGAGTGCTCCACAGTCTCTTAAAGTCTATAAAATGGCATTTCCCTCCCATTAAGAGGGAAAGCACTTTCATGTTGCGTTGCTGTAAAAGTATCGGGAAAGCTGATGTTTTCTCTGCTGTCTTTGCTTAATATTCTGTGCAAAAAAAAATTCACCTGGCCTCACTGAGACAGTATTTGAAATGGATAATTTAAAAAAATATCCAAAACGCCCCAGAAGCTGTGTTTTAGCCTAGCAGGTGGGATGTCCTATTTACTCCAGTGTCCCAAACAGTGATCCTGCAACCCAAGGGAAAAAGATGCTGCCCTTTTCTTTCCTCTGCTAGTACTTGCGAATTGATGCTTGACACAAAGTATGAGGATGTGGGGAGGGCAAGAGGTCAGCAGTTCCATCTCGTGGCAAGCCATCTGTCTCCGGGAGCTCTGGGCCAAGGCCTTCTTCATTCAGCAGCTGGATGTTTGGTTGACTTCCATGAAGGCCCATCTGATTTGCAAAAGTTTTGTGGCAGATCCTGGTGGCCAAACCGCCGGCTCAGTAGAGCCGCACTGGTTTCCAAGCGCCTTCCTGCTGCTCCCTTTCATGGTGCATCACGCTGCTCTCATGAGGAGGGGAAGCCTGGGCTTGCGGTCACCGCGCTGAGCTGGGAGGAGAGCATCTGCCATAGGGTCACTGCCTGACCACGGGCAAGTCGCCTCATTTCTCTGTCATTCAGTTTTCCACCTATAAAAGGGGGATAATAATAGTCCTAGCCTTTACAGGGGTGAGCTGAGGATAACTTGCCTGCTCTTTAAGCAAGGTGTTTAGAGGGTAACTTCAAAGTAAAGCTAATAAATACGAATATACAAGTCACCCTAGTAAAGCTCTGCCCGTGCATTTATAGTGGCTTGGGAAAACCCTTTATATTTGTTACATTTTTCTGACACAGTCGTTCTTTCCTGCTACAGACCTTCATGCAAAACAGGTTCTGTGCTGCTACCTTCAGCAGTCAGCAAGGGACAAAAGGTGAAATAGCTCTTCTGGTTGCGGGGGCGGGAAGAGCCACTTTCGGAGCTACATCTTGAGGAGACAGTTGCCTGACATTGTTTCTAGGTAGTTGCCACCAAAAATTACAACATATGGACGAAAACAACTTCAGAGTTCCCCTCAGAAGGAACCTACTGGCGCTGGTCTTCCCTCCCTGAATGAATCGACATGAGTGGGATTCCCAGAAGCGCAAGGGATGAGGCAGTTCTCAGGTTCAGAAGGGTGATCTGGGGCACG